AAGCAACAGAAGTCCAGAGGTCATACTGCAGCTTTATACATCATTAGTAAGGCCTCACCTAGATTATGCAGCTCAGTTCTGGTCTCCGTATTACAAAATGGACATAAATTCGTTAGAAAACATTCAGCGTAGGATGACTAAATTAATACATAGCATTAGAAATCTTCCTTATGAAGAAAGATTGAAGACTCTTAAGTTACATTCACTTGTTAGACGAAGAATGAGGGGAGACCTGATCGAAGTGTGTAAGTGGAAGATAGGTATTAATAAAGGGATATTAATATAAGGTCTTGAGGATGTCTCTCCAAGAGAGAACCCGCAGTAATGGATTTAAATTAGATAAGTTTAGATTTAGAAAGGACATAGGAAAGTATTGGTTTGGAAATAGGGTAGTTGATGAGTGGAACAGTCTACCTAGTTGGGTTATTGAGGCTGGGACTTTAGGTAGTTTCAAATCTAGGTTGGATAAGTACATGAGTGGGAGGGGTTGGATTTGAGTGGGACTTTCACATCAGAGCATATTTCTTGGGTGGCATTGAAAATTGGGTTGGGCAAATGTTTTGTTAGTGGGATGAATTGTAAAGGACGTGCCTAGCATGGGCCAGCAGGCCTCCTGCAGTGTTCCTCCTTTCTTATGTTCTTATGTTTTGCTTTCGTAGTGAGTGATTTTCGTGTGCAAGTTCGGTACTAGTCCCTCTAGGATTTTCCATGTGTATATAATCATGTATCTCTCCCTCCTGCGTTCCAGGGAATACAGGTTTAGGAACCTCAAGCGCTCCCAGTAATTGAGGTGTTTTATCTCCGTTATGCGCGCCGTGAAAGTTCTCTGTACATTTTCTAGGTCGGCAATTTCACCTGCCTTGAAAGGTGCTGTTAGTGTGCAGCAATATTCCAGCCTAGATAGAACAAGTGACCTGAAGAGTGTCATCATGGGCTTGGCCTCCCTAGTTTTGAAGGTTCTCATTATCCATCCTGTCACTTTTCTAGCAGATGCGATTGATACAATGTTATGGTCCTTGAAGGTGAGATCCTCCGACATGATCACTCCCAGGTCTTTGACGTTGGTGTTTCGCTCTATTTTGTGGCCAGAATTTGTTTTGTACTGTGATGAAGATTTAATTTCCTCATGTTTACCATATCTGAGTAATTGAAATGTCTCATCATTGAACTTCATATTGTTTTCTGCAGCCCACTGAAATATTTGGTTGATATCCGCCTGGAGCCTTGCAGTGTCTGCAATGGAAGACACTGTCATGCAGATTCGGGTGTCATCTGCAAAGGAAGACACGGTGCTGTGGCTGACATCCTTGTCTATGTCGGATATGAGGATGAGGAACAAGATGGGAGCGAGTGCTGTGCCTTGTGGAACAGAGCTTTTCACCGTAGCTGCCTCGGACTTTACTCTGTTGACGACTACTCTCTGTGTTCTGTTAGTGAAGAAATTATAGATCCATCGACCGACTTTTCCTGTTATTCCTTTAGCACGCATTTTGTGCACTATTACGCCATGGTCACACTTGTCGAAGCTTTTGCAAAGTCTTTATTTACACCGCATTCTTTTTGCTTCTGTCATTTAGGACATTGGTAGTGATCCAATATTTTTAAACGAAAGGGGGAAACCTGTTCAAACCCATGTTCCCCGGGTTGTGTAAAGAGGGTTTTTTCAGATGGGGGGTATCTTGCTTCTTAGGCCCTTTAAAAAATTTTTAAGGGGGATGTTGTGCTACGGGTCGTAGTTCTTTGCGTTGCTTTACTGCCCCTTTGTGGAGTGGGGCTATGTCTTTTGTTTTTTAACTGGGGGGAAAACGCCCCCCGTCCCCAGCTCCCTCTCCATGGATGGAAAACCCCGTGATAGGGGCTCTTGCAGTTTTGATAAACCACAGAGTTCCATGAGTTGGCCCGGGGGAAGAGTGCAGGGGCATGATTTATCCCCTGTTCGAAGTCATTTGGCGTCGGATAACATCGGGGGCTTTGTTAATAAAATTTTGTGGCTTCCCCCATAAAAAATTCTTTTTGACTTCGACTCTCATTTGGGTTAGTGACTTGCTAAAAACGAGAAATTTTGGGGATTGAGTAGCTCACCTTTTCCTTCTGTATCTTTGGGGACCCCACTTGTTTAAGTGGGGGCCCCCAATACTGGACGTTTGTTCTTCGTTTTTGTTTTGGGCTGTAGAAGAAATACTTTTGGGTTTCTTTGTTTTATTTATGGCTTTTTGTTCTTCCCCCATTCCTGACTCCTGAAGGGGTTCTTTTAGTTTAAGTTCGATCTTGCTTTTTCTCTGCCCCGTGTCCCCTACGCATTTCAGTATATTGACCTCTTTTAAGCCCCCTCGTTATTCTTTTCCTCGCCTGTAAAGGTAGCGCCTGTCTCTTTCTATTTTACTCTACTCCCCCTTTTTCTTTGGGAAAAACCTTGTGCATACATCGAGTGCCACCAAATTATCTGTTCTAGGATAAATTGGGGCTGTGTTGCTTAGAATATCTTCCCCGCTTATATCGGTTAGGACTTGGTTTACTTGGTCCCACTTTATGTTTTTGTTATTGAAGTTGAATTTGGTGAATTCTCCCTCGTGACTAGTCTCATTATGTCTGTCTGGGGCTCCACGCATACATGTCTGAACCTCAATTATGTTGTGATCCGAGTATATTGTTTTTGATATGGTGACATTTCTTATCAGATCATCATTGTTAGTGAAGATGAGGTCTAGTGTTTATTCCAGTCTAGTAGGCTCTATTATTTGCTGGTTTAAATTGAATTTTGTGCAGAGATTTAAAAGCTCGTGTGAGTGTGAGTTTTCATCAGAGCTGCCTCCTGGTGTTATTACTGCAACAATATTATTTGCTATATTCCTCCATTTTAGGTGCCTTAAGTTGAAACCCCCTGAGCAAGATGTTGGGTGCAGAAGCTGGAAGATTTTCTGGACAGTGGTCAACTTTTAACAGCTGTTCCTGGAATTGCTGGGATGTTGCATCCGGAGGCTTGTAGACTACCACAATGACTAGGTTTTGGTTCTCGACCTTTACTGCTAAAACTTCCACTACATCATTTGAGGCATTAAGCAGTTCTGTGCAAACAAGTGACTCTGCCATGTACAGGCCAACCCCTCCCCCCCTTTTGCCTGTTCACTCTGTCACATCTGTATAGGTTGTAACCTGGGATCCATATTTCGTTGTCCAAGTGATCCTTTATGTGGGTCTCAGTGAAAGCCGCAAACATTGCCTTTGCCTCTGCAAGCAGTCCACGGATGAAAGGTATTTTGTTGTTTGTTGCTGGCTTTAGACCCTGTATATTTGCAAAGAAGAATGTTATCAGATTGGTGGTATTGTTGGTACTGGGGGGGATTTTTTTTCCGGCATTAGTATCTGTATCTGTTGGTTTGGAGTGGAGGCCATCGACTGTACCTGGAGTTTACCTGGAGAGAGTTCAGGGGGTCAACGCCCCCGCGGCCCGGTCTGTGACCAGGCCTCCTGGTGGATCAGAGACTGATCAACCGGGCTGATGCTGCTGGCTGCATGCAAACCAACGTACGAGCCACAGCCCGGCTGATCCGGAACTGACTTTAGGTGCTTGTCCAGTGCCAGCTTGAAGACTGCCAGGGGTCTGTTTGTAATCCCCCTTATGTGCGCTGGGAGGCAGTTGAACAGTCTCGGGCCCCTGACACTTATTGTATGGTCTCTTAACGTGCTAGTGACACCCCTGCTTTTCATTGGGGGGATGGTGCATCGTCTGCCAAGTCTTTTGCTTTCGTAGTGAGTGATTTTCGTGTGCAAGTTTGGTACTAGTCCCTCTAGGATTTTCTAGGTGTATATAATCATGTATCTCTCCCTCCTGCATTCCAGGGAATACAGGTTTAGGAACCTCAAGCGCTCCCAGTAATTGAGGTGTTTTATCTCCGTTATGCGCGCTGTGAAAGTTCTCTGTACATTTTCTAGGTCAGCAATTTCACCTGCCTAGAAAGGTGCTGTTAGTGTGCAGCAATATTCCAGCCTAGATAGAACAAGTGACCTGAAGAGTGTCATATGGGCTTGGCCTCCCTAGTTTTGAAGGTTTCTCATTATACCTTTCCTGTATTTTTTAGCAGATACAATTGATACAATGTTATGGTCATAGATTGTGAGATCCTCCGACATGGATCACTCCCAGGTCTTTGCTTTGGTGTTTCGACTCTTTTTGTGGCCAGAATCTGTTTTTTTTACTTGGATGATGATTTTTTTTCCTCATGTTTACATATCTGAGTAATTGAAATTTCTTCGTTGAACCTCATTTTTATTGTGTTTTCTGCAGCCCACTGAAAGATTTGGGTTTATGTCCGCCTGGAGCCTTGCAGTGTATGCAATTGGGAAGTCATGTCATGTAGATTCGGGTGTCATATGCAAAGGAAGGACCTCGGGATTTGGCTGTACCTGACATCCTTGTCTATTGTCGAAAATGAGGATGTGCAACAAGATGGTGAGCGAAAGTACTGTGCCTTGTGGAACATAGCTTTTCACCGTAGGTGC